TGTTGCTCATTATGCTCTCATTACAATAAAATTAGCCTTACAGATGAGAAGTACCCATCATGCACTGACACCATGATACTTCTGATCTAAGCCAAATAAGAACAGAAATCCCTCCTCCTCTCAGGAAGATGGAGCTGGGATGAAAATCAGGGAATACGACCCCCAAACCCCTCCTTCCTCCGTGAATATTCTGCCCCTTCATTTGTATGCCCCTCATAACCGGCTTGCCAGAGAAACCCAGGGCAGCAGCTCCTCACCTGTCTGTCTGCTCTCCCTCTGAGAGCGTATTCTTGCTTAAATAAATCCTTACTTTACTTTCTTAACTCCCTGCTTGTCTCCGAATTCTTTCGCGACAAGGCAAGAACCTTAAATTCACTGGGAGCAGTATAGTTTATAAAACAGCTATTATAGCATCTGGTAAATATTTGCTCAGTAAATGTGACTTCCTAACTTGCTACCTGTGCAATCCTACACAGCATTCAATATTTTCTGATGACAATATATCTGAAAACAGTATGCAGGAAATATCCCCATGCCTTTCAGCACAAGAACAGGCACGTGCAAATTCTCCTTTTCCAGTGTTTTTTATTTGCACATTTAATATTCACAAATCATTTTACAGATTTATTCTTTTCACAGGTTCTTTATTTATAGGAAAGATCAGGATTAAAACAGAGCATCGAAGAGGACCAAGAAATTACCAGCAGAGATGGTGCAGAATACAAAGGTTCTAAAACAGAACAGAGTGAACAAGAGCAGCGTGTAGCCACTTCCTACCAGGCTGGAACACTGACTTCATTAAGGCAAAGCCTTTATTTACTGTGTTATTTCTTCATCCCACCTAGTTTAACCCAAATAGAAAGGCATTCTATTTTCACACTACTGCTCTCTGAGGTCTTAGGAATATAGCTGGTACTACATGTGACCAGAGGCATCCCTTGACTATAAACACCTGAATAGACACGTTAAATTTTGATGTGTTAACCACCCCTCTGGGAGAATTAAAACGAAAGGGGCAGAAGCTGCTTGATTCTTAAGACTTTGAGAAAAAGGGGAGGGGTGTATGTGTCTGGTGGTGGGAGGAGGGGAAAGAAAAGGGGCTCAAGGAGGAGTGAGGGCAACAAACCTAACTCTTCCCAATGTATAAGCGCTCTGTGTCTTTCTCAGATGCTAATATAGTATTCTAGTACTCAGAAAAAAACGAGTTATTGACCTCCAGTGAGCTGTACATTGTAATGGCTAGTAACAGGGAACATACCCTGGGGAGGAGGTGTATTCATTTCATGCGTATAACAATGCAATTCAAAACTGTGTCCTACTATGATCTCAGCTAATGTGTTTTCCTATTTTAAATCAATTCACTGTGTAACCTTGGACAATTTACCTAACCTTTCTGTGCCTCTATTTTCTACCAGTGAAATGAGGATTGTACCACTTTATGTTGAAGATTGGAGGAGATGGATGAAAAGCACTTTAGAATAGTGCCTGGCCAAATCCATAGAGACAGAAAGCAGACTGATGGTTGCCAGGGGCTGGGGAAAAGGGAAAAAGGGGATGGCTGCTAATGGCTTTGAGGTTTCTTTGTGAAGTGATGAGTGTTCTAAAATGAGACAGTGGTGATAGTTGCACAATTATGTGAATATACTGAAAAATCACTGAATTGTATATTACTTTAAAAGGGTGAATTTTATGGTAAAGTGTATCCCAATAAAGCTGTTACAAAAAATTCTTAAAAAAATAGAGTAGTGTCTGGCACACAGTAAGTGCCCAATAAATGTTAGCTATTATTTTTAGTAATATTATTGTCACATTATTATTTAGCCATCTTATGACCTAAGTAAATCCCTAGAAATTCTTTATTTTTAATAAAAGCCCACAAATCTAAAAAAGTATTTCTAATTTACATATATGCATTAACATTCACACATTTATTTCTATCCAAATTGTCTCAGAAATGAACAGTTTAATTAAGAAGCACAATTTCAGTATTTTACTCTGGAATAAAACAACTGCATGCAATGGATGTCTGATCATATCATGATAGGCTTTAGATAAATTTCAATGACTTGATGTTATCCAAGAATTGGAAATGATGGGAGATTTTCATTTTCATCTCCAGGAATAAACAGGAAGTTCAAATACAGTAAGTACTTAGATTATATAACGTACACAATTAAACCTTCAAATATAGGCTTGTTAGCCTTCTAATCACATTTTGGGGGACACTTTATAAAAAGACAAATACAGTAAACAGTAAAATGCTTACTAGCCCCATGCCCTGTGACCCCCTCACCTTGCCCAAAAGAAAATCCCCACAATGAAAAGATATAACTCAACTCATGTAATAAACCACTTAAGAGGCAAAAGACTTGACGATTAATGATTGACTTTTAAGACTACACTGCAAAAAAGATGTTCACATCAATTGAGTATTTATAATCTGAACAGCAATTAAATCCAGTCTTCACCTTTCCTATTGCTAAAGAATATGACAACGGAGTCTCAATCTCAGAAGCAGGAGCAGCAAGTGATAAGCCACGATGGCAGTAATGCACATCACATGCTTGAATTTCATCTAAAGCGTGAAACCTTCCAATTCCCGGAACAGGGTTTCCTTTGTTGGAGTCCCCTTCCCTTCTAGTCTTCCTTTCTATAATTAGCCACGTGCCTCTGCAGCAAATCAGGGAAAGCTGTGTTGAGGGTTACAACTTCCAGATACTCAGGTCTTCTGTGACAGAAAGCAATGCACTTTTTTGAATATATTAAGAAAATATTTATTTATACCCTCAAATTGACCACTCATTTTCAGAAAGATAATTAAATCTCCATTTTACCCGCCTTCATTTAAATCAAATAAAACCATTCCCTAAGTCACCCAAAAGCAACAGATTAAAACACAGAACAAGTTGCCTTAACACCCAATATGTATAATACCCCCCTCACACACACACAAACCCCACCAAAGTTGTGGCCTTAGGAATTTCTGACCAAATATTTAGCCTGAGTAAAATTCAGTGAAGATTTAATTCCCTTTTGAGAAGCATGATTATTTCTTTAATTTTACATTATAATCATTGGGATAGATTACAAAACAACTTTGGAAGAGAGATGTTTTTAGTGGGAAGTTAGAAAATTTCAGACAATGGAAATGGATGATAATTTAGGACCAATTTTAAAATCAGAACCAGTTTCAAAATATTTTCTTTATCAAGACTGAAACACTGGCTTTGTCCTAACAGGGTTTATTTTGAAATTTCAAAGGGAAATTGAAACAAATACAAATACATAACCAAAATATCTAGACAACGCTGGGACAGAGGGGACCAATTTTGTAATGCTCTGTAATTGAATATCATTCCAAGTACTCATTTGTCCTAGTATTGTACATTTGGTTAATCTGGGGATGGAGAAAGTATATTTTAAAAATTATATATCTATGCATAGGTCATCTTTAAATACCAGTGAATAAATATTTAAACTCCATGATAAAGAAAAAATGTGGAATAAGAAATTCCTATCTTTATAACTATATTTACAATGAATGTTTTCTGCCTGACTCCTAATCTTTGTCTATTAAGAGCTTTTCACTGTGCAATTTATAGAAGGCAGCAGCTCATATTACCTTAAAAGAACCCTGATTAGCTCAGAATCAGCCTGTCCCAGACACTCTGCTCCCTGAAAAGCCTTCACACTTGTGTGCATAAATAGCTGAGAATACAAGTAGGTGCACATGTGCAAAAAAGTACTTCTCTAAAGGAGAGCTAATTGGCTTTACAAATAAAGTCTAAAACCAAGAAAATAAACTGCTATCCCCAACCCGAAAAACACACCTAATGAAAAAACTGCTAAGCCCACTATGAAAAGGCGGCAGCTGTAAACTCAACTCATCCTACCTCATGCTCTTAAGCATCTAGTTGTTCTGTGAAATCAGCCATTAGAACACTAAATCCCTCCATGTTTACATGGTTAAATGCAGCCTTTGATTTAGCTTTACTTTTTAGTTAGAGGCCAGACTACACAGAATAGCAAGAAATTCCTTACAGCTATGCTGTATCCAAACTGCCTCATTCTATCCTTAAGAGAAGGTGCCCACATGATAATATGCATTAGGGACCTACCAATCTAAATTTCTGAGGTCTTCTACTTGGGTAAGTTCAAGCATTGGTCCACTGAGAGCTTCAGTCAAAGGAAAATTACAAGTTGACTGCTAACACCTTAGCTTGCATATGCAGAACTGGAGAGTAAGATTAAAAATTAAGAGTGTCCAGGCATAGAAAGAAACGAAATTGAGTTATTTGTAGTGAGGTGGATGGACCTAGAGTCTGTCATACAGAGTGAAGTAAGTCAGAAAGAGAAAAACAAATACTGTATGCTAACACATATATATGGAATCCAAGAAAAAAAAAAGGTCATGAAGAACCTAGGGGTAAGACGGGAATAAAGACACAGACCTACTAGAGAATGGACTTGAGGATATGGGGAGGGGGAAGGGTAAGCTGTGACAAAGTGAGAGTGGCATGGACATATATACACTACCAAACGTAAAATAGATAGCTAGTGGGAAGCAGCCGCATAGCACAGGGAGATCAGCTCGGTGGTTTGTGACCACCTAGAGGGATGGGATAGGGAGGGTGGGAGGGAGGGAGACGCAAGAGGGAAGAGCTATGGGAACATATGTATATGTATAACTGATTCACTTTGTCATAAAGCAGAAACTAACACACCATTGTAAAGCAATTATACTCCAATAAAGATGTTGAAAAAAAATTAAGAGTGTCACTGAGCTGCTATTAAGCATGGCAGAAAGGTGACTATACAGAAAGACTAAAAAAGCCTATGTTTTAGATGTCCTTTGCTTTTTTTAAAGCAACAAGTGCAGAATTTTCTCTAATCAAACTCTGAATTTTGCTTAGATGTTTTCTCCTCCCACATCTATGTACCCCTTTCCCAACCTCTGTCATTGTCTTTTTAAGCTTAAGAGAAGTAAAATAAACTATCCCTTATTATTTATGAAAAGAGAGGCATATTCTAATAGTCATAAGGCAATATGTTTAAGAGCTGCACCTGAACTGGTATTCTCAAAACTGAAAATATAGTTACCAACTCTATATTCAACTTGCAGGATGTATCCATGTGCTTCCCAAGTCATTGGTTGTCACCCAGACGGACCACAGTGACCCCATCATGCCTTAAGGAGGCATTATACTGTGTGTACTATGCACACATATTTTAAAGAAATAACATTAAGAAGGAAAGGACGGCCTTTCAAACATCAGTTCCTTACATAAATGGTGACGGTGCTTTATGGTTCCCTTTTAATCTCCTCATATACCCAGTTACCAAATACCTCCAAAATTAGACAAAACAGGGCCAAAGGCAAAACTCCACGGTAAATTGCATCTTTGAAATGAGCTTTGAATTCCCTGGTTTTTAATTTCCATTTCCTGATTTACTGAGGAGTGAAGGTGAGAATCATCCAACTGATGACAAAGTAAAACAAGAAAACAGGATAAACAGCAAGGGCTTTGCGGTTTGGAGGCTGGCTATCAGCAAGGAAAGCTGTAGAGGCTAAACAAAGCAAAACAAGACAACAAAAAGGAATATTTAATACAATAAGACTGTTACAACTACTAACATTTACTAAACTTGAAGGGGCCTGACATAGTCTGGGACACAGAATTATATACTATAAGTTCAGTTACATTTGTGATCCTCAGAGAAAAAGGCATTTGGCAGCATAGTTTTCTGGACAGCTGAGGGCTACCTGTTTCAAGTATGAAAGCTTTGAAAGGTTTCAACCATTTAAGATGGAAACCTTTCTAAAAGGGGTTTCTTACCCTTTTCTGAGAAGTTACTGAACTGTGCTACATAGGCTTACAAAACTCCTATGGCAAATGGCCTCACACTGCTGTTTTTTTTGAGTACTTGTTCTTAATAAGTTATCAGCTCTTTTAGATGCCAATCCTCTTGTCCATCCAGGAAACATATACTCATCTTTTCACTCATCAATAATCACCCTTCAAGGAAATCTTTCCTGAACAACCATCTGGTATCCTGCCACCCCAGGTAGAACTGCCCACTTACCTCTTCTGTGTCCCCACTATACACTGCAGAGACTTCCATTGCCCACCTGGAAAACTTTTATGCCTAAATTGTGAACTCGGAGGATAGAGACCATGCCTAGCACAATGCCTGACACACAGTCTGTGCTTAATACCTATTTGCTGAATTACAGGAACTTCTCTCTCATCTAAGATTCTACTTGCTGAACCACTGTGGGCCTGGACACTTGATAACTAAGCTATTCAGAACTACATGTATGGTAAATTATCAGACTCTAAGTGAGGGAATGAGGGGCTCTTCCATGGGTAGTTAAAGCACCCAAGCTTAATACAATCCTTGGAATATCAATTCTGGCATTCTCAGATCTTACTTTTGGATTACTTCTTGGCTTTTAACCATGTCCCAGAGCAAAGAAATGTTACTGCACATAAAAATATTAGGCAGTCTGTCTATCCCATTAAAAAGAAGCTAGTGAACACTTCCAGTTTAAGGTGGAATTTTAAGAGAATTTTAGGAAAGTACAAACAATGAGCAAATAGCATTCATTGCCACTGCTACAGGCTCTCACTCATCTTTAGCAGAATTTTCTACTGAAGCAGACAAGTACTATGATACTTAACAACCTATACTGGGAGGTAGTATAGTACATTTCTAAACAGGTGTGTGATCTGGTTGGGTTTGAAACCTGATTCCCCTATTCACTAGTTATGTGTCCTAGGGCAAGTTGCTTAACCTCTCTGGGTCTGCTCCTCATCTATAAAAATGGGACCAATAATAACTGTTTTTATTTATTAGGGTTGTTGTGAGGGTTAAATGAGATAATATATATGAAGTACTTATGACAGTGTCTGGCCTACAGTAAGCAATTGGTAAATGCTGGCTATTATTATGATTAATTTGTCAGGAAAAGGCTCAAGCCATTTCTCAAGTCACCTATGCCTCCTATATGCCAGGACTAAGTTAGGTCTAGTGTAATCTCCTTTTTCAACCCTATCCACTATTTAAGGATTGAAAAGAAAAAAAGACATGACTCTCCACATCTCGGAAGTCCAGATAGCCAACTCAGATAAGATGAACGTTATCCCTACTGAGAGAAGACGGTTCTATGGATGACACTGGCAAGAATCATATCACTCATATGTAACTTATAAGTTACACTGCTCCTCATCTGATCTTCATCTCTAACTCACGTTTCGGTCTGCTCTGTTACTGTAGAGATAAGTAAGTTCTTACCTACTATAGACCAGGCAAACATCACGATCACCACAAAAAGCCGGACCATGAAGTTTATTGGTCCTGGCTCGGCCAAAAGTACCAGCCGGCAAACCAGCATTGCCACCGTCAGGGGAAGTATACAGTAACCCAGCACACAGAGGCTCTGAAAAAAAGATCTAAAAAACAACAATACATCCATAAAGATCATAAATATAGCTGATCTGTATCATGATACAGTTTATTACACAGATTTCTATGTATGATGGATCGTTACCTTCCTTCAGATACATAATACCTATACCCTAATATAGGTATTAGGACAGCTGAAGGCTACCTGTTTCAAGTATGAGGATAGGCCTCTGTATTCAACATGTGCTTTAGTTTTGCTCTCCCCATCCTCTCCTCCTCTCTGCTTAAACTCCTTAAGAGTCAGCCATCTAGTATCTAGATGATCTGCTCTAATTCCTAGAGATCTCCTTCTCCCACTGAACCTCCAAGAATGGTGTTTCTTAATCTTTTCTGGTTTACAGACCTATTTCAGAATTTGTTGAAAACTATGGACCATCCATTCCCAAAGACAGACATAATCTTCTAACACAAAAAATTCTGCCTATGACTTCAGGGGCTGGAGCGAGAGCACTGAAGCTTATCAAAGGACCCCAGATAATTTAAGGTAATTTAATTCAACTAGGTTATCTCTGTTCAGTGGTTTTAAGAGAATCTTCTTTTTGGCTCTCATTTATTTTTATTTTTATTTTTAAAAAATACATAACTAGCCAGACTTCCTTAAAAATCTAAAATATGCAACCTGGCAAGGGAAAAGGGATGCATTTTAATAATACTCACATGTTTCCTCCAAGAAGTTTTGAGTTGAGGGTGATGGTAACTGCACCAAACCAGACAATGACAAACACTTCTGCAAACTGGGGCCCTCCATCTTTTTCGCTATCTACAGAGCCTCTCTGAAGCATTCTGTGACAAGGAAATGGCATGAGAATTGCCAAATCTTTTATTTAGAGCAACAAAGTTACGGCATGGGTTCTCAAACTTTGAATCAGGGAGCTGCCCTAAACCTCATCTGAAGATCTATAATATGTAGGCTGTACAAAAGGAAAATGCCTGAAGTATATCCCTTATTTCAAATTCCAAATGCCTCAGGACTACAAGAGGTGCTCCATTTGACCTCATGGGAATGCTTAAATGGATTACCAAAGACCTTTTTTGGTTAAGCAGAGGGTATAAACTGAAGGGCTAAATGTGGCTCACAGACATAAGGTTGTTGGTCCATACAATACTTAAAATGGTCTTAAATTCAAGTTGATGTTATTTTAAAATTGGGAGGTATTTCTGGATTTTCTTGAAAAATCATAAGAGTTTCTAACACTGGACCTGCATTCCTACATGGCAACAATCAGGTGCAGTTGACACAGCAGCAGATTCCTTCACAAGGGCTTCTGGTAACCAATTCGCAATGCATGCATGTACACATTTGAATTTGTAATCCTTGGGTTAAGGTTCTAGTTCTGGCATTTAAAAATGGAAGCAGTCTATAAACCTATTTAGTTGTTGATTTTTTAAAATCAAAACATACAGATTATCACAAAAAGGCTTTGCTTTGAAACTGAGTAATTGAACAGTCACTTATATCCTCTCTAAAAATTTTACAGATGTAAACTGCTTTGAATTTTGGACTCAGAACACTTGTACTCTGTGTCATTTTTTTCCAGTAACAGAATAAGTAACATCAAACTCACAACCTCCTCTTATTACGAAGTATAGGGAAGTCACACAGTAAGTCTTGTCCTGCTATGCTATGTGCCAGTACAGGCTTTTGTATTCTATGGTTCTGCATACTCTGTTCCAAGTCCTGACAATCCAGTGCAAAGAATGCTGGCCCTCATCACTTGTTGTCTGGAACTCCTATCGCTTCAGCATGGTATGACAGAAAGAACATTAACTGGCCTGGAAGGCAGGAGACTCAGATATTGATCCTAATTCTGTCACTAGATATGGAAACTGGAGCAGATCACTTGATGTTCTGGGACTCCAATTTTCTTCTCTGCAAATAAGTGGTATTAAACTCCATAATCTCTAAGGTTAATCTTTCAAAACTAAAAAAGTATATGCTCAGAGCTTCTAATATAAACCCTTTCATCAAGGCACTGGATTGTTTCCCTTGATATGATTATTAAAGGCATAAGATAGAGCACTCCACGTTTTTACCTAAATTACCATATGCTTGACTTACATTTAAAAATGGGTAAAGAAGCCAGTAAGAAACTTGAATTTAAAATCATAAAAGGTTCAGCCTGGAAAGGACCCTCAACCATCTCCTTTTATAGATATGGAAAAGGAGACCCAGAGAGGTTAGGTGGGAAGAGATGTGTAATAATTGCAGAGGTAGAGAATGGGCAGTCAAGGAAACCTGAGGTTGAATTCCAGGTCTACCACTGAATATTTGACCTTGGTTCAGTCCTCAATCTCTTTGAACCTGAGCTTGTTTGTCAAAAGAGGAAAAATATTCACTTTTTGTTATGAGGATAAGAGAAGGTATTTAAAAGTTTTCTGTAAGCTAAGAAAAATCATTATACAAATTTTGGTTATTAGTGGCTGAAAGTCACCCTGCTGATAGCAAAGTTAGGATGAGAACTCAGAACTGAATCCTAGTGCAGTATTTTTTGCACTCTACCAGTGGTTATATTCCCCTCTCCAGCGGAACTTTGCTTTCCTTCTTCTGTCCTTTCCCTTTACATACAATGCATACGGAAAACATAACACTTTGAAACATGATCTTGCTTTGAACTCTACCACTTCTACTCTAATTTATTCTCACTTACACTTTTAGTAAATTTTAAAAGAATTATGTTTGCAAATAAACAGTGCTTAAACCTACAGATACTTAATTCACTTAGCTTAATGAGGTACATGAGTGTGAATAAATGTTGAACAGAAATGGCTAAATCAGGATAAGAAGTCATTGGTAAGTGAAGGTGGGCATAATTTTCACATCTTTAAATTCCATCACTCTTTGAATTGATCTAGAAAACTACTTGACTTTTTAGATTTAAATACATAAGGAGTACAATATGTCATAGATGTCCTAAATGAAATATTCAGTCAAAATCCCCTTCAATTTTGAAACTCCATGAAAAAAATCTAATCTATCTCAAATGACAAAGAAAGGAAATATAAGTACTTACAATGCAAGCGTCACACAAAGGATCAAAGGGCCCCATAAATCCCCTACAAGAAAAGACAGAAGACTGTTTAGACACAACCATGTAGTGTTTTCTGTCTTTATTCCAATATGTACCTCTCCCACTCTTGGAATTCAGACATCAAGGCTCTCCCTGTCTGCCCAAGCCTTCCGACCTCTGCTATCCCCTCTGCTGACCCTCCCTGCTCCCTAATTCTGAATGCCCTTCTTCATATATCCTTTAAATTTTGTTCACTTCACATCCCACAAATCACCCCTCTCCCCACCTACTAAGCCACATTCCAGCATGCTACAGTTAAAGACCAACGAGCAAGGAGTCAAAAGACTTAAGTGCCCTACCCTGCACCATCAAAAAGAAGACTAAAGCCAAGTCACTTTACCTATCTGAGACTACATTAGACAAGGCAAGTATAATCAGGTTCACCTCACAAATATGAAAAACAAAGCTGGGAAGAAGTGACGTGCCCAAGTTTCCGTAAACAGTTACGTGTGGGGGTGGGACCAGAACCTAGAACCAAAACCAGAATCTTCTGATTCCTACTACAAAGTCCTTTCCACTCTGCAATACTGTTTCCCTTTCATAATTACTACATTGAACTAGCACAGAATTGCTGTTCTTATAGGTGAAAAAACAGCCCAACACTGGTAATTTCATAGGGTTAAATGTTAACAAACAACATGAAAACTTTCTGAAAACTATAAAGGCTCTGTCAACATTAGGTCTAATCACTGTGGTTCTCAATCAATAGCTGTTGGGTGATTAATAAACCAACAGTTCAGTAACATACAGCTTAAAGCACAATTATCTTCCTCAAGTAATATGAAAAAAGGTACATATACCACTTCTAACTTTAACCTCACTTGTACATAACTTTATTTGAAAGAAGTGTGCATATGTACATACTTACGTCTTTGTTTTAAATAAGTAATTTTGACACCACTGTGGAAAGTTTGTTAAAGATGTAAAAAAAGAAAAACCATAATCCTAACACTCTAATAAACTATTGTTAATTAAATAAGCAATAAATTGTTAAAATTTATCAACTGAAAAGCTGAATTCAAGTACAACTGACATTAATACGCTGTTTTTTTAATGCAGTGAAGACTGTTTTTAATTTGTAAAAGATTCATAACAGTATTTTAAAACTATTCTTTTTCTTGTGAAATACATAAAACACAAAATTTACCATTTTAGTCACTTTTAACTGTACAGGCACGAAGTATATTCACTGTTGTGCAAGCACCACACCATCCATCTCCAGAACGTTTTCATCTCCCAAACTGAAACTCCAACCCATTAAACAATAACTCCTCAATACCCCCTCAGTCCCTGACAACCATCATTTAACTTTCTGTCTCTATAAATCTGACTACTCTAGGTACCTAACATAAGTGGAATCATATATGTCCTTTTGTGTATGGCTTATTTTACTTAGCATAGTGTCTTCAAGGTTCGTCCAAGTTGTAGCATGTATCAGGAATTTCACTCCTTTTTAAGGATGAATAATAACCCATTCATATATGGCATACACCATGGTGTATATAACACACTTTGTTTACCCATCCATCCACTGATAGACATAAGAGTTGTTTTCACCTGCTGCTATGAACACAGGTGTGCAAATAACTGAGTCCGTGCTTTCAATTCTTTTGGGTATATACCCAGAAGGAGACGTGCTGAATCATGTGGTAGTTCTATACTATAAATTTTATATACTATAAAATTATGTGGTAATTTTTTGAGGAACCACCATGTTGTTTTACACAGTGGCTGTACCATTTTACATTCCCACCAGCAATGCACAAGGGTTCCAATTTCTCCACATCCTCACCAACACTTGTTATTTTCTGTTTCTTTGACAATAACCATCCTAATGGATCTGAATTGGTATCTCATTGGATAAGACAGCTTTTCTGAGGAAGAAACTTCAACCTCAGAAAAGTTAACTGTCTTATCCAAGATCACACACTATTCAAACACTGATTTGCCCATGCTCTTTCCACTATATACGAGCTGTAGCAAATCATGTGTCAGCTTCAACCCACAATGTACTATGTTGAAAAAGATTCTGACGCTGCATCCAATTGCCACACAGTGATGGCACATTTGCCACATATTTGACATCCTTATATTACAGCTGAAATGCTGCCAAAATAGAAGGTACACTCATGTACAACATCATTGTTACTACTCTCAAACAATAGATTCAATTTTTTTCTGACAAAGGGTACTAAGAAAAACCAAGAATGCTTGAAAAGAAAAGGTCTAACAATTTTAAGAATAAATTCTAAATAACAGCAAAATTTTCTGCAAACACTGTTTTGGAACTCCTAAAGAAAGCAGTCAACAGACTAAATGATCATTCTGAAAATAGAAATGTCAATAAAGTACTATTAATTTGTTAAACCTTTAATGGGTATTAGCTATTATTCTAATTTAACATTTACACATTTTGCCTTTCCCTTGGAAATCATTAGCTCTTTGGTTGAACAAAGTCCCTATGTCTTTGCCACTTCCAGAAATATTCTTTGCAGTGTCTATTATAGCAGGTGAAAATATACAGTCTATATTTATTGATGAGGACAATATATTCAGCAAAATCTTCCAATCTCTGAAATTCCATCCTAAATTTTTAACTTTTCTCAAAAACTTCATTTATGTATTTTTTCATCCTGCAAAATGACATCAGTTTTATTACCACAGAGCCTTTGCCTTATAAAATACTTATGATAAGTTATGATGAGAAACAGCAAAGCCTCAAAATCCTTATATACTTACAATCTCTCAAAAGAGTATTGCTTTTCCTTGGGTACAAAACATGCATGAATTTTTTCCCAACAGCTTTTAGATCACGCATCTGAAAGACACAAACAACTTGTACTGTGATGACCAAGGTTGCCAAGCAGCCCCCTCACTTAACTTGCTAAAATTTCTTTTATTTCAATCTCCTGGGAGCCCTTCATTGAATTTTAGAGCTATAACTCCAGTTTAATTCCTTCACTATACAACAAACCAGAGAGGTGGGGTTTGTCTATTAACTCCTTTTTCTATTAACTTTTCCTATTAACTCCTTAAGCCAACATCTAACTCTTTACCACATTCATCAGTTCTGTTTTGATTTTTTAAACTCCACAGAAGAGAAACATAGCCCTCCTAATATGTTACTTAAAGAAACGAAAATAATAGCACTAGTAAAATCTGCTCTGCAAAACACAGCACCTAACTTTGAGTTCATACATGATGAGGTCACAAGGGGCAATCAGCCTGCTCCCATGCTAACACATTCTTTACAATATGTAAAGTCAATTAATTTTCAACATTCCCATACATTCCGGCAAATGAATCCTAGAAGCCAGATTTTTAAAAATCAAGACATTTAAGGAAAAGTGCAGTCATATAACCATAACCTCTCAAATTATAGTTGAGGTAATTCTGTCCTAATTTTTTCAACCTAGAAATTTCTTCATGTCATTAATAGTTCTTTGTAAACATGACTTTTAATGGTTGTTTACCATTCTACCACACAGATGTAACATAATTTACTTAACCGATTACTCTTCTTTGCAACTTTCCCACATTATAAATATTGCTGTAACAAACATCTTTGTATAAACATTTTTCTGTATTTTTAAAAATACTTTTGTATTAAAAAATTTTTTTCCTTATACTATACCTAGAGAAGCAGAATTATCACCTCAAAAAGATTGGACATTTTAAGTTCCTTAGTATCAATTACAGCCAAACTGCTTTCCAAAAAGGCTGTACCAAATTATTCTCTAGGGGAGAACCTTAAATTTCAATAAATAAAATGCACTGAAAACCAGTGAACCAAACAAAAATATTACAAAGTGCTCTTAGCTATTTAGTCCCATGACACTGAATAGAAGTTCTCTCAACTTGTCTAACTTACAATGGTATTCTGAACAGATTCATTCAATGTGGAGCTGTCAAATTCCCGAATGCGAGATCTCATGGGAATGGTGATTTCTCCTTCCACAGGGATGTCTTGTGAGATAGATATATCTGAAAGGCCTGCAAACTGAGAAGAGTTAGGGACAAAAATTTAAAGCCTGTAATAAACTGTAGGATTCCCCCAAAGACATCATCATTTCCCAGAGAGCAGGACCATGTCTTTTTGTAGGGTTTTATACAGTTTTTAAAATAAGGTGTTAGCACACCAGACATCAAAAAATGCAGTTAGCTAAAATTCTCAAATGCTTATTTCTTTTAACTTAAAGAAGGAGATAGCAAACAATGGAAAAAATTATAAAGTAAATGGCATAGACTTTCTTGCCCTCAAATATTTTGTTTCTTTCAAGCATGAAATCTTTTCTTTATGTCTTTATTGGAGTATAATTGCTTTACAATGGTGTGTTAGTTTCTGCTGTACAACGAAGTGAATCAGCTATATGTATACATATAACCTCATATCCCCTCCCTCTTAAGCCTCTCTCCCACCCTCCTATCCCACCCCTCTAGGTCATCACAAAGCATCAAGCTGATCTCCCTGTGCTATACAGCAGCTTCCCACTAGCTATCTATTTTACATTTGGTAGTGTATATACATGGATGCTATTCTTTCACTTCGTCCCAGCTTCCCCATCCCCCACACCCGTGTCCTAAAGTCCGTTCTCTATGTCTGCATCTTTATTCCCACCCTGCCACTAGGTTCATCAGTACCGTTTTTTTAGATTCCATATATGTGTTAGCATACGGTATTCGTTTTTCTCTTTCTTACTTCACTCTGTATGACAGGATCTAGGTCCAACCACCTCATTACAAATAACTCAATTTCACTCGTTTTTATGGCTGAGTAACATTCCATTGTATATATGTGTCACATCTTCTTTATCCATTCATCTGTCGATGGACATTTAGGTTCCTTCCATGTCCTGGCTATTGTAAATAGTGCTGCAATGAACATTGGGGTGCATGTCTCTTTTTGAATTATGGTTTTCTCAGGGTATATGCCCAGTAGTGGGATTGCTGGGTCATATGGTAGTTCTATTTTTAGTTTCTTAAGGAACCTCTATACTGTTTTCCACAGTGGCTGTATCAATTTACATTCTCACCAACAGTGCAGGAGGGTTCCCTTTTCTGCACACCCTCTCCAGCATTTATTATTTCTAGATTTGTTGATGATGGCAATTCTGACCAGTATGAGATGATACCTCATTGTGGTTTTGATTTGCATTTCTCTAATGATTAGTGATGTTGAGTATCTTTTCATGTGTTTGTTGGCAATCTATATGTCTTCTTTGAAAAAATGTCTATTTAGGTCTTCTGCCCATTTTTGGATTGGGTTGTTTTTTTTGATATTGAGCTGCATGAGCTGTCAAGCATGAAATCTTAACAGGATATAAGCTAGTAAGATTGCAGAACTTTTAGTGACCTTTCAGTGATCACATCTTAGCACAGCCACAATTCTGTTGCACTTCTGCTCCTTAGTGGGCTCCAGTGGCCTCTGCTGGCTAAAAAGGAGCATTATGTGAAATCTAAAGGGAAACTGGGAAGAACATGGAAATAGCAAAACACATCATTATTTATACTCTTTTTACCAGATTACTGGCAACCACAGATTTCCAAAGTGAACTGCAAGATTGAAAACTTTTAAACTCTTACATTCATATGCCAAATTTGATTACTGTGAATGAAACTCAAGAATCTTCAAGTTCCTAAGAAAACAGAAGCAATCCCTTCTCATATGGTTTTTGGCCCAATGTTTAGTGGGCAATAGTTACAGGTAAATGAAATACAAGACAGTATACTAAAATTTTAGGAAGAATAAGGTTGTTCAAAGAACTTATGAAAAGCAGCTTCTCAATCACACTCTTAATAAGGAAATGCAAATTAAAGCTACTTGAAAATTCTTCACCTGTTAGACTGGCAAAAATCTAAGTTTGACCACACTTTCTGCAAGTGAAGCTGAGGGGTAAAAGCACTCACACACTGCTGCTGGGGAGGTAAAATGGTACTAGGCCCTATTGAAGATTAATCTGGCAATATCTAGTAAATTTATATAGGGATTGCTCACCACTTTTAGGAGTCTAAAGTGGTAAAAATACAAAAAGACGTATATATATATATACACACACACACAAGGCTCTTCATTACAACACTACCTGTAAAAGCAAAAAACCTGAGAATAGCCCAAATGCCCATCAACAGAGAACCAGTTGAATAAAGCATGGTATGTCCACATAACGGAGTGCTATGCAGCTGTAAGAAGGAATGGGTATATCTCTAAAGAACTATTATGGAGTGTTAAATTAAAAAATAATGTGGAGGAAAGTCTGTATACATGCTACCATTTATCTGAGAAAAGAGGGAGTACAAATATATATATACATATCTGAATATCTTTTAAATATAAGAAATAAGTTATGTAATGTGACCTGTCGCATGTAATATAAGAAATGTCATAGATTTTTTTTAAAAGAGGCTTCCTAATTAGGAAAGGAGGGAATAAGGTGGAGGAAACAAGTAGAGAAGTTAGTCTTCTTGGAACACACATTGTTCTGTATATATATAACTTGAAATCATATAAATACTTCACAGAATTATGAGACAAAATTAAAATTTAAAAGCAGTCCCCAAAACTGAAAGAAAAATGAAACAAATGAACCTACTGAATTAAATACACAACCACACAGAGAGCAACTATTTCATGTGACTTTACAACACTGTAATTTGACTTCCAATTAGGATGTAGAAAGCTGGAATGAGCATCCCATCCACTAGAACAATGAGAAAAAGCTAGACTAACTACAAAATCATAACTTTCCTTGAACCCATCAGAGAGCTGAGGTTGTAGGGCAACCAAGTAGCATGAATGAAATCTAAGGAAAAACAGGCACTTACTTCCAAGAAGAGATGGGACATGAGCACTGGCTCATCTGTAGCAAAGCACGAGAAGACAACAACACTGGGCATCACACATATGATTAAGAATTCAGCTAAAATTTAAAATGAATTGCTAAAGACCAAGTGTTGACTGCTGTGAGAGTACAGTGTCCCTGGAAGCATTAGACACAGGAGGCATTCACACCCAAGTACTTACAGGCTCTTCTCCACAGACTTCCATTGGTCCAGGTGTGAGGGGAGTAGCTGCCTCTTCTGAGAAAAGCACAGAGACCAGCTCAGACCCTTCTCCCCTACAGAAAAAGAGACTTAAAGCTTCTGGGGGAAGATAAGCAAACTCTGTTGTCTCCAGAGCACAGGTGAAAAGCCACTGTGGCTGGGGAAAGGGAAAAGACAAACCTCACTACTCCTGGAAGAAGGGTGGGAAATAATCCTGAGGCCAGACTATTAGAGTCTCCCTTCAGCTGGGGGAGAGACAGGATCACTGAGAAAGTCTCACCCAGGAAGACTCAGGGACACATGACCTACCTAAGGCAGAGGCTGGACCAAAACAACAAAGAATCTCCACCTCCCAGGTACCCACCACAAGGCTAGCAAGTATGCAATAACAAGCAATAGCAGTCTAGTGCTAAGGGAGGGGCTAGAGCTTGGAGAGAAACCGACTATTTTATGCAGGGGCAAAGGGAATGCAGAAAACTAAGCATGGAGGAGGAACATTAAGAAAAACACTGGGAAAACCTAGTGCCCACCCTAAGCACAAGGTAATAGGAGAGAAATTTGAAGCTGATGATGCATTGAAGGTTCCTATATCAAGTACAAAACCCAAATACAGTTCAACTCCTTACTATATTGACTTAACCCCTACAGTAACAACTTAGCAGAAAAGATGTGCCATTTCCAGGCAGTCTCTACTGTTATACGTGATGGCCAGTGATCAATAAAAAAATTACCCCTTCCCCATAAACACACACACACACACACACACACACACACACACACACACACACACACACACACACGGGGAAACAACCTTCTGTGACAAGACAAAGCAATTAAACCAGACTCTGAGGTGACCCAGATGTTAGAATTTCAGAAGAAAAATTTACCATGAACACAATTAATATGTTAAAAAGGCTCTAGTAGAAAAGATATATGCATGAATGATGATGAATTTCTGCCAAGAGATGGAAACTGTAAGATGGTAATGGTAATGCTAGAAGTAAGTGAATATAGTAACAGATGAAAAATGCCTTTGACAGCCTTATCAGCAGACTCAACAGAGCCAAATAAAAAAAATCGGTGATAGGTCAGTGAAAATTATCTAAACAAAAACAAAACAAGAAGAGTTAGAAAATAAAAAAAAATTACACACATCAAATCATTGTATTGGGGCTTCCCTGGTGGCACAGTGGTTGAGAGGCCGCCTGCCAATGCAGGGGACACGGGTTCGTGCGCCGGTCCGGGAAGATCCCACATGCCGCGGAGCAGCTAGGCCCGTGAGCCATGGCCGCTGAGCCTGCGCGTCCGGAGCCTGTGCTCCGCAGCAGGAGAGGCCACAACAGTGAGAGGCCCGCGTAACGCAAAAAAAAAAAAAAAATCATTGTACACCTTAAACTTGTACAATGTTATATGCCAATAATATCTCAATAAAACTAGAAAAAACAAAAAAAAACACCCCAAAAAAGTACAGAGCATGCAAGAACTGTGGGTTGATATTAAACAGTCTAATTTGTATATTATTGAAATCCCACAAGAGGAGAAAGATAATGGATCTGAAAAAAATATTTGAAAAGATAACAACTGAATTGTTTTCCAAAAATAACGAAGACATCAAATGACAGACCCAAGCCCAGAAAACCCCAATCAAGATAAATACCTCAGGCTTCCCTGGTGGCGCAGTAGTTGAGAATATGCCTGCCAATGCAGGGGACACGGGTTCGAGCCCTGGTCTGAGAAGATCCCACATGTCGCGGAGCAACTGGGCCAGTGAGCCACAAGTACTGAGCCTGCGCATCTGGAGCCTGTGCCCCGCAACAAGAGAGGCCACGACAGTGAGAGGCCCATGCACCGCGATGAAGAGTGGTCCCTGCTCACCACAACTAGAGAAAGCCCTCGCATAGAAACGAAGACCCAAATACAGCCAAATAAATAAATAAATAAAATTTTTAAAAATAAATA